AAACTTTACTACAATAGATCATAACTTTTATATAGTACTAAAATTACTTGAAGACAAGTAATAGTTAAGTTTGGGAGATTTTGACCAAAGAAAAATATGTTGAGATTTTCATACCTATTTTACACTATTTTTTATGATATTACACTTTAAAGAAAAATATTTTTGATGTTTTGTTGTAGGAATGATGAATTAGGTTCATTGGAGCAAAAAGATGAAAAAAAGAGCGAATTTTGAGCGAAAATGACCAAAATGTGAAGATTTGAACTAGGGCGCCGACGTCGAGCCCAACGGTGCCGACGTCGGACTTTTCCTGAGACTCCACCCCGAGCCCCCAGCCAAATATTTAAAAAGGCCCGCCGACGGCACCCTCGAGGCTGTCGACGACGAGATCGACGGATATGTCCAAAAGTGCATTGAATGTGGACGATTTTTGGAGGGATGCGTAGGCAACTCTTGGGAAAACTCTTCTACATCTTTAAAAGAAGATTTTGGCCAAAAATCAGAGAGAAGAGAGGTTCTGGAGGTTAGAGAGATTCCTGTAGTGTGTAGAGAGTTTACTTTAGAGTCTAATTGTGAGGAATTCTTCGAGAGATTGTAAGAGTGGAAGGAAAGTGAGAGATTTCTTCCTCCTTGTCGCTTCGAAGAGGAATTCTGTGTGTTGTAAGGAAAGAAAGAGATTCATAGGAACTTTGAGGAGTTTGCTTGGGGAGGAATTAGAGATAAGTGTTATTTACTTATTTTAGTTTGTATGACTTTGCTTTTATATATGAATTCCGAGTTTTATTGTGTCTTCCCCATGAGTTCTGAGTAGTTTTCTCTGTCTTTCTCCTTGTCTTAAGATTTATGAAATGGTGAATTGAATTGGTTGAGCCATGAAAATGTTAAAGAAGTTGTGATGATCTTTTCACTTCGATCTTAATTTAATTTCAATCCGGTCAATTGATTTGTTAAAATATGTTGAGTTTTACAATTAAAGTGAAAATTACATCCAAGATTCAGGGAGATCAAAGCCCTTGGAAATTGGGTGCAAATAAATAGGGAATTACTATTATCGGGCGTAGAATTGGAGATTTTATAGTGACATACTAAAATCTCCAATTTGGTCCTATCGTTTAGGTGCTGAAGTATAGATGTTAGCCCTCAGGCGAGGGGAACGTGAGAGCTTCGTAGTAAGAGCCGGAATCCTCCCAACCTAGCCGCAGATTCAGTAAACAAGCGTAGGATTAATCAATGTTCTTTATGTCTGGACCAAAGGGTAAAGAGTATGTATGCTCTTATTTGACACAATATAATTTAAACTGATTCACTTTATTCATTCACTATAATTTCTTGACAAGGGGAATGATATTTTCTTATATATTGAATTTCACATTAAAAACTTTATTAGTAGAATTAGTTATTTAAGAGTTATTAAAATTACATATTTATTTCAATTGCCTATTAGTGACAGATAAGCAATTTGAATTATACTGTTATGATTAAGTAGTGATTTTCTAAAATCTTAGTTCGTAGTTCTAATATTACTCCATATGGGATCAATATCTAGGACTCCATTAGAGCCCTATTTTACTTAAGTGATATGTATACTCGCGTTGATAAATGTGACTTTACTATTATTGAATATTATATATATACATCTTTATCAAATTTATAACTGTTAAGTTTTTGCTGTCGTTGCTGAGGAATTAAATCTTCTAGCAGCAGTATTAAATACTTGTATTTTTAAGCATATATAAAGTCGTTGTCAGGTCCAAATTGTTGAACATCAGAAATCAAGCAGAGGAACTTTTTCTATGGGTGTTGGGAGAAGGTCAAGTTAACTTTTGGTTAGATAACTGTGTTAGCAATGGGGAGAAGCTTGAGTGTCTTACCTCCAACCCCAACTTTAACTGTCAGATCAGAGATTATTGGTCTGCTGATCAGTGGAACTGCATAATGCTTAATACTGTACTATCCAATGAACATGTTAGATGGGTCAAGGATACTCCCTTCACATCTAATTTCAAAGACAAAATTGTTACCAAACAAGCTCATTCCCAGAAATTATCTGCCAACATTTATCATCACTTTTTTAACTGGAATCAGATGACTTGGGGAAAAGCCATTTGGGGTAAAATTCTAACCCCTTCTATGTCCTTCTTCTGTTGGAGACTGTGACACTCTTTACTTCCTACTGATGAAATTTTAAAGATGAAGGGGCTGAGAGGGCCTTCTATCTGCCCATTATGCTATGCTTCTGAAGAAACTTTGGATCACTTATTTTTCACTTGTAATTTCTCCCAAGAAATCTGGTCAGGACTACTCAATCTTCTGAACATTGATACTTGCAACTTAAGTTGGTTTAAGTTTATTACTTGTTGGGAGGATTGACATAATAGTAAGCTTTTGGTGATCCCTTATTTGGTGGCATGGTTTATATGGATGTGCAGAAACCAAATCAAGTTTGATGAACACTTCCCTGGCCAAATTATGTGATCCTAAACTGCACCTCTTACATTCAAAAATTGATCAAGTATCACCACTTCCCTAATGTTATCAAGAATTGGACCCCATACAAGACCAATTCTCATCCACATAATTCCAGATTAATATTTTGGAGCCCCCCCTACTAGTGGTTGGATGAAGGTTAACACTGATGGCAGTTTCTCAAAAGATTATGCTGGTGTTGGGGGAATCTTTAGGAACTCTCATGGCACTTCCATCTTGTATTACACTGCCCCTATAGTGGCATTTGATGCTTTGGAGGCAAAATTTAGAGCTATCTACTGTGATATTAGAATTGCATACCATTGTCATTTGGGCCCCTTGCTTGTAGAAACAGACTTTACTGTTTGTATTAATATTTTGCTCCATGATGAAGCTTCTCCTTGGAATCTACTTATGTGGAAAAGCCAGTTGAAAGCCCTTATACACAGCTGCAGGGTGGAATTTACATACATCCCTAGGGAGGGCAACTGTCCAGCACACTGGCTAGCCTCCCAGGGAAGGAACACCGAGCAGATATATGTTGGGAATGCACTTACATCACACTTAACTTTCCTTCTTAATGGAGATAATATGACTCTCCCCTATTTTAAAACCTTGTAACAATTTTGTAGTATTATATATATATATGGAATAGTTCTAACATATATATATATTTATGGGAAATTACTTATCCAGCTATTTTATACCGAGATTTAAAATTCTCTATCACTGATAAAAATATATATTTCAATTTAAGATATAAAATTGATGGAGAAAAATAAAATTTAAGACAAATTTCTTATATTGGTTTTGGCGTCAACCGAAGCTTATTGAATGGAGCGATTATTCTGTGCGGACAACGCATGCGTGTGCTGTCCAATAAATTTTTTTTTTTAAAAAAAAATTTTAAGTGAGGCCCACTACATACATTTTTGGTAGAGATTGTATTTTCATTGTTTCACCGCACACATTTCTGCGCCGTGAACGTACGCAATAATTTTTCGATTGAATGGATGACTAAAGCTCGATTTATTGGCTCAAGCGGGAATAATTGCTACTGCAATATGATCGATGGACAAAAATTTTCTTGAATATTTATGATAATAGCATTGATATGCATAACTATAAGTCATATTTTATTATTTATTTATTTATTTATTTATTTGTCGAATTAATGAAATCCGCTAAAATCCGTTAAGAGTAGAGAAAGGGTGCTTAGCTGCTTAGTTCGTTATTTATTTTGAGTCAATTTCAAATCAATATATTTACATATCTAACATCTAAAATTTATTATTTTCATGCATGTATGACTGATTAATATCATAATCATATTAAAACATTTACATGAAATGATTTTTTTTTTTCTACATAAAAAATGGTAGTACACACATGCTTTTGATTTGATGTTAAGTATTTCAATCTTCAACAAAAAATTTAGCTGTTAAATATATAAATATTTGAAAAATAATTTGTATGTATGTACATGACCCAATAAAATGAACAATGAGCAATAATATTATTTGATGTCTTGCAATCATAACATCATGATTTCTGTTATTACTTTGATCTACATAAATAAAAGTAGCATTTTACTGAACTTTATAACTAAACAAGAATAAATGAATATAAAAAAATCTACATTAAATTGCTAGCCACATGAAAAATGCGGACCATAGAGGAAATAATAGTAAAGTTAAAGCATATGCCCAAAAGAATATGACTGAGCATTCACTTTCTCCAACACCAAAGAGTTGATAGATCACACCTGTCAACAACACAGTTGTAATATAAGTTAGTAAAATGTGTATCATGATCATATATTCCATAATATGTTTAAAAGTAAATTATTTAAAAATGGTGTGATTGTTTATTTATTTCAAATGTATAAAAATAGTCAATTTTAATACTTCAATTCATTTTTTAATTTATACTAAAATGATCTTATTTTTTATTTTAAAATTTCAAGTAAAATTATATAATGCACACATATACAATATTTCATTAATACTCATCCCATATTTTATATATATACTCACAATAAGAGTGCTAAGAGTATTTTTGTATTAACAAATTAAGATGTTTTTTTTATTCATTGCAAATTCACTTGTAAGTAATGCTATAGTATTAATATATATTAACTGTTAACTTTATGACATCAATCAATATCAATTTCATCAAAAAATTTTGTTGTTGGAGCATTTACATACATTTCACTTAACATCAATGTATTTAAGAAGCCAACATTTAAATTTTACTTTTTATATTTTTACAATCAAAATATTTTAGATCAAATAAGAAATACCATTATTTTGAATTAAAAAAAAAGAAATGCACCATTTCATGCATATAATAAGGTGATATGCATATATATGTATGTACACATGTACCTACGTACGGCTATATGTATGTATAGGTAAAAACTGAAGTTTGTATTGGTGTATGTACGTGTGTATGTACGTGTGTATGTAAAAATTAAATTTTAGATGTTAGATGTGTAAATATTTAGAAATTAAGTATTATGGAAGTAAATCTTTCCTTATTTATTTGTTTAAAAATAAAATATTGGCCAACATTGTTGATATTTAGATGATAGTCTACTAGATAAAGAAGTGAAATAATATGTGAAATAAATAATCTGAGGGCACCATTTCAAAGTTAACTAAGCGAGCTTTACTATGATAGATACATCATTTACCTATATTGCTATAACACATTAATATTATGATAAAATCAAATAAACCAGAAAAAAAATTAATATTACCCATATTCATTGCAGGTGGAAGAGCATATTGCACCAACAAAACAAAATGATAGAGTGGATCTGGGTGAAGAATGCCAAAATGAATTGCTCCTTTAATTATACAAACACCCGTTAAAGGCAAAAGAAGAAATCGAACAATTACTACACCAACAATGGCTGAAATTTTGATATTGGAAAGGGGGGAGGTGGTTTTTGGTGGTTCTTAAAAAAAAAAAAAAAAAAAGAAATTCTGATAAATTAAATTCATAATTCGTGCACCTAATTATGTTGGCTAGCAAAGTGTCTTTGCACATATTTTTAAGACTTTAATTATATTTATAAAAAAAATGGCAATTGATGGAATAAGTGTGTTGAAATTATATCATCCATCATTTGTATGTTGTTGCACTTCATTAAGAGAGTGATTACAGCATAAGAAATTGTGATTAAATAACTTTTTTTACTTTAGTCGTAAATACTTTTAGCCCCGTCATCAAGGCTCACATTATTGAAAATAAGATTAAAAATTAAATATATAAATTGAGACTAAAAAAGCTTTTACACATTTAAAAAAATAATTACAGCTCAAAACTATAGTATGGTAGCCTATTGTTACAATTTTCTTAAGAAATATAAAAAAAATATCATATTTTGTCAAAAATAAAGCGTGCAATATCATATTTTAATTTTATTATGGTGAATTATTAAGGGTTTGTTTGGCGCAACTGTGGAGCTGCGGAGTGGTAGTGGGTTAGGATTGGATGATGGATTATTCCACATATATGGTAACTCCTCCTTTCGTGCCCTCCCCCCCTCGCCCTTGTCCGGCAAGCAATCTCTCTAGTGCTTCTTCTCCATACCTTCTATTCGCTCGCCGACACATTTGGATAGGGTTTTTTTGCTGCATTTTCCTCCTTCTTCCTCCGATATCCTTTTTCCCTCATATCTTCTTTGTTGATTTGCTCTATGAGTTGTATGGTATTTACACAAGGATTTTTTACATACAAAAAAATTGAGACTTGCATTTTTTTTTTCTTTCTTTGGTGGCCACAACCACATTGTTACATACAAAACAACATATGTTATACGATTGTTTGAAAGGTTTGCGGTCTTTGGTTGATGCATTCATTTCGTGGTTTTTACGTTAGTTTGTTTTTTGGGAATGATTACATACCTATCAAACAAGTCTTCGTTTTGGCTTTTTTTTTTCATCTTCCTACTTTGATTTGTGATATGTGAATGCAAATTTAAGAAATGGTTGGAGTAATATTTAAATTGGTTAAACATGGATTGGGATTTCATCATCATTTTTTATATTTGAGTAGAACCATTGAGAAAGGATATTGGAGGGTTGACCATTTGTTCAGATCCTTTCCTTACTTTCATATTACATGGTTCAGTATTTGATGATTTCGAGTGCTCCTTTTTCTAATGGAAACTTACAATTTTACAATCCAATACACAATTCTTATATGTTTATATTCATAATAGTTGATTCCATATTTTGTTGTTTGAGGGATAATGATAGTAGCTCGTGCGTATTTAACTGCTTCACCACAGTTTCCCTACATTGTTTATTTGGTTTAGCGGATTTCAGTGTTGCATGCATGAATATTAAAGCTATTGTGTGAGATATGTAAATTCAATATAATTGTGTGTTGTGTATCTAAATGGACCTTGTTGGATGATTGAATTATGTCGGATTGGTGTCTGACATTTGGATGAAATTTTTTTAAAAGAATTTTTGAGAGAAAAAGAGGTTTTGGATGATAGGATTATTTGGGGGAAAAATAATTGACTCCTAAGAAGGCCCACTACTCACGTGTTTATATTCATGATATTTATTTGCACTTATATGAGATTTTTAGAGAAATTTATAAATATTACACCGACTTCTCATTTGTAAACAATAGTCCAATACAGAAACATAATGATCATTTATTCAGAAACAGCTGCAGCATATCTATTTTCAAACTGCAAAAAATAAACATATAGCTAGCTTATCCGCAGCAGCTTTCTTCTAGAGCTACTGCGCAACAACTTATTAATAAGCTGCAACTGCCCTAAACAGACCCTAAATGACGTTTTAATATGATATTAATTAATTTATAAAAGAAAATTTTCATTCCCTAGGGCATTATACATACCTTTGACAAGATTTCCTCCCATTATTAAAGTAGTTGCAGGAACAGCTCCATCACTGTGATTGACAAAAACAGAAAAATTATATTACTATTATTATCAGTCTTATACCAATTATTTGGGTTTGATGATTTCATGGTCCAATATTATCATTATTCAGTACCATTAAATACTTCATGAGAATTAAAGCCTAATTTGTATTTAAAAATCGAAGACAACACTTCATTGAACTATACGAAATTAATTACATTACACCACGTTAATTTTACTCCAAAAAAAGTTAGATAATGAATGAATTTATTATAATAATGTTATAATAAGCCTATGATAATTAAGTAACATACCCCAACAAACTAAGGGCACCTTGAAGGGAACGAAGAGGTGCATTTTCACCTACTAGTGCCCTTCGGAAAGGAGAAACGACCCCAAATGTAAGTCCAATAATCTGCATAGTAAATTAAGTAATTTTTAAAAATAAATAATTTTTAAAAACAAAATAACATTTTTATGATATAGACATGATGATCCCTCATGTTAGGAGACATCAATGTGTTCAAATATGCACCATGCAGGTCCACGTCTTAAATATTTTTATTTTACATTGTGTTGGTAATATACTAGTCCTTAATATCTATTATTTATATACAATTTTTGCAATGCCATACTGAATGAATGTTATTATTTATATTCAATTGTTGTCAGTCTCTCAAATGGAATGAGCTTGATTTAATAACATAAGAACCAAATTCAAAGTTGTCATACTGTCATAAGTTGAACTCAAATAAAATATGAGTTTTACATGACAAATTCAAATGACAGAAAATTATTTCTTAATAAAATTAAATAAAAAAGCTGCTAAGAATAATTTGACTTTGAAGAAATTCTAAATTAGATTATGTCACTATGAAACTAATCAATGTCATTAAGTGTTGTTAACATACCGCTCCAAATATTGATGGGGTAAACAACCTCCTCAATGCTATGACCGCTGGCCTCTCGGAGAGTGATTTTGTCATTTTCATTAATGATTGGACCTGAAAAAAATTAAAAACATTAAATGGATGCATTATACATATGCAATAATCTATTTGAATTATAAAAAATATATTATTGTGGAAGAAAAGCAAGTTATCTCAACCTAGTTAATTTATAAAAATATGTTGGATAATCCAATATATGCTGTAAAAATGCAGCACTATTATTTTATGATTTTATATAAGTAATATTTAAATGAAAAAAAAAAACCTATTACCTTGCTATTTGTTGAAGGCTCGCTAAAATTGGTGCCTGAGGTTTCTTGAATAATTTCACCATTAGTAGAAAATGAGTCTTTAGTATCAAACCAAACGGAGTCATTTTCACGAGTTGTTGTCGTCCCTTCCTCTATAGACATTGGTGATGATGATTCTTGTTGGATGATCTTCATCTTTTCTTCTTCAAATCCCATTGATAATCTCACGGCGTTGTAGACATATGACCAAAAGATCATATCGCCTATCTGAAATATTTTCAAAAGACTTAAAACTCACATTTTATTATTATTGCATAAATACACATTTATATAACTTGCATTATTTATTGTAAATAAAAATCCGGACACGTAGGTAGAAAAGGAAAATCATAATATCTACACACAAATATACAAATATGGAAATTAGAACATTCTCTGCACATAAAACCCAAAACCTCATTAACACAAATCTTCTTTGAACATGCATTAAAAAAAAATGCAACATTTAAATTTTTTGGTTATGTTGATTCTCAAAGATTAACATTGTGATATTTTCTTAATCTGCCAGTGGAGTAGTGTCCTGGAGAAACGCCAAATAGATTTTGATTGTTACTTTCACTTTGAAGGTTGAATTTGTGTCCTATTTTTGAGGCAACTTCTCATGAAGTATGTCTGAAGAATGTCTAACAAGTTATCTAAAATAAAATATAATTATTTGTTATTTGTATTAAAACATCAAAACATTGATTATAAAATAATAAAAATAAGGTGTACTGATAATTTATTTAATTTCTAAGAATAAAATGTAGTCTTTAAAAAATATAGAAAAGACTTACGCCCATGGACAGTGAAGCGTAGGCCAAAGCCTGGGAAGTGCATGAGTCTGGGTTACCAAATGGTCTTCCACTTTCTTTACAAGTAGCTGGAATCACAATGTGAAGCATGACACCCAGATTTCCTGTACATTAAAGATTTTTAATAACTAATTAGTAAATCACTAATATAATTAGATTGCCCAACCTGAATTATAAAAATCACTTAATGACAGTAATTTTGTTTAGATAAACGATGAGTCTTAATTAAACTCTAATTCGGATAGATTTATGGTTTTTTTTAATTTTTAATTTATTAATTTTTAATTTGCATATATAAGCTGTTAAAAGTTAATATATGCACATTTTTTATTTCTCAACTATGGACAAATCTTCAACTCTTCACATAATTTTTTAGTACTATTTTGTTTCAATTAAATAAATGTCTCCTTATTTCTCTAATATTATAATTTTTCTATATATATTTATTTGAATCTTATCATACATTCAATTAAATATTCTCATTTCTATTTCACTCTACAAATTCTAAATTACACTAAATTTAGAGTATTTGAAACCAAATTTTTTAATTTTACACAATTTTAGCAGAAAAAAAAATATTATTATTATTTTTTCATTGCATATTGCCAACTTTACCTGAAGCACAACAACCAATAATAAGGCCTCTTAAATTGGAAGGAACATTGCTAATTTTGTTAAATATCCATCCAAATGCTGAACCAATAATGAAGGTAAGAAGAATGTTGATAGGCATAAACCATCTGTGTATGAAAGTTATGAAAAATAAAAAGAAAACAAAACAAAATGTCACTGTTTATTTATCCAAGGTGTAAAATGGTTAAATAAGTTATCTCTCTTATACACTAATAACATATCCTGTTTTAAGAATTCTTAATTACAAATTGAGACATTTTAAGTTAAAAAATAAATCAATTTTATATCTATTAAATTAATAATTTATCACACATATTTATTTTTTAAACTTAACTCCACTTGAAAAATATTTTAATGAAATAAAACATTTTATGATCAAAGTAAATCTAAAATAATTATTTAATTAGCAAGAGAAAATATTATTTAAAAAATTTAAAACTTTCTTTTACATAGGATTTTTCTAAAAGGATATAAATTAGCTAAAGTAATAAAAAAAAAAACAATAGTTATAAGCTAAAATAAGATAATACATAAATCAGATGTATTATGAAAAAGAAATATAAATATATTTAAAAATTATAATGTAAAATAAAAAATATATAATTTTTATTTCAAATGGAAACTTTGAAATTTTTTGGATAAAGTATTAAATTTTTTCTTAAAATGTGGTTTGAGATAGATGAAACTTACGTTGAAGCCACACTTTTCAAAGTGAAAGTGGAGGATAAATTGTTTGTCACAAGTGAAGGGTTTAGTACAAAATATACAACCTGTTAATTAAAGATTGCTATTAGCATTTTCAAAATAAACAAACTAATGCATAAAATCACAATTAAAACTAACAAAAAAAATGCATGCAAAACAAAATAAGCAGAATAAAAGATAGGGCAAAATGAGTTATATTTATGTCTCAATTAAAGATTTTACATCTGAAAAACTCTTAGGGTTTAAATAAAATATATTATTTATAAGAAATTAATATAAAATAAAATCAAATGATAAGAAAAGATGCAACATAGCTTTCTAAAAACAGATCATCGATGAACGGTATTTAAAAATTTAAATAATATATTAAAATCTCTGTGCTTTAAACTATTAATAAAAATATGTTTAATTTATTCTTGTTGGCTACCTTATTTTACTTTTTATCACAAAATTTTCTTGGGGTTTACCAAATCTACACCGAATGAAAAGAAAATCAATTATATTGCATATGTTTTTGGGTGTTTCATATTTTTTGTGGGCAAATGAATTTTGGATGTTTCATATCTTATACCAAGCTCTTTAATTTGGATGTTTCATATTTTATTTCAGCATGGCATTGGTGGTTAGAGTCAAATCAATTATATTGCTAAATAAAAATAAATATAATTTTCTATATCTTTATACATTTTATAAAAATCCAGTTGAAAAATACACATGCTAAACTTGTTTATTTAATATAAAAAAAATGTATTTAAATATATTGATATATTTTATATAAAAACAAGATTAATTTAATTTTAATACTTATATATTTTTTTTTGTAACGCATCAGGAAACATGCATGCTTGCGTAATTGTTTTCTAATTAACATTAAAATCACGGCATTTTGACAAATGGCAGTCAATTAATTAAAATAACAAATGTTGCATTAAATAATTATTGTTAAAATGTGAAAGAAGAAAGGCAATTAAAGTCATACCGCGTTTATGTTTTTTCTGGCTTCCTCAGTTAAGACACCAATGGAAGGAAGAGCTATAAATGATCCAACGCCGGTTACAATGAGCATCTTCAGAACCGGAATCCATGCCGCAATAAATAGTTCAATAATCTTCATTTCTCCCAATTTCTCTTCTTCTTCTTCTTCTTCTTCTTCTGTCAAATAAATATCATTTGCTAAATTCTTCTTCTTTTGTCCAAAAAAATGAAATTTGTTAATATTACTTGCACAAAAACTTATAATACAACGACTAAATATAAATATTATCTACTTTTCTAACATTTTTATAGCTTATGCTTCATGCCCTAAAAAATTCATGTGTTTTAAAGCTTTGATAAGTCAATTTAGGTTAAGATGTTTTAACTCATCTTTTCATGAGGATAATTTTAAAATAATGGTAATTGTGTATTTTTATGTAAAAATTGAAATTTTGGTGATAGATATGTAAATCCATGGCAAATGAGTGATACGTATGTAAATATTCCTTCCAAGTTTTGTGCCGCCCAAGGCTGTCGCTTTTTGGATGCGATCAAGCAACATGGTATTGAAACTACAGAGAAAGTGTAAAATCTTCAAACAATTCTTATGATAGATTTTTAAATTGGAAGATGCTTTGCAGGACTTTGACACCTCTTGTTTTCTCGTTGAAACAATCTCTTTGGAATTATCTTTAGAGTTGAAAACCATATAATTAATTATAATCTATAACAGATTAATAGCAAATGATTTGAGTTTCATTATTTTTTTGTGAAAATTTAATAATAAGAATAATAATCATCATCATCATCATTCAATTCAAAAATATCAAATAAATTAAATACTCCATTTCTCTTATAAAAATCACAAAAGATTGTCTTATTACATAAAGGTATATATATATACTTTAAAATGAATACTTACATAAATACTACTCAGTTCAAATGTATTTACATATATAACATCTAAAGTTAATTTTTTCATAAATGTCATCTTATATATGTATGAAACTATGCATTCCATATTTTAAGAGTCAAAATAACTGTATTTTTGATGCGACATGAATGATTTGGGTGAGATAAATGCAGGAAGTAAGGTTAGGTTTTAGGCATGTAGTTACATAGGGATTTGTTGGCATGAATGTAAATTTCGCATTTTAAATATGATAAAATTTATTTTTTCTTGTTTAATATATGCAAATATAAAATTTAGTATATATTTTAAAGAAATTTACAGTTTTAAAATTTATATTCAAACTAAACTAAACCTAGCAATTGGAGTTCATTATTCCTCCAACCAACTAAATGATCCCCAAACTGACGATAGAAATCAGAGTTGGCACCAATTATAAAACTTATTATCTTCATTCTTCTGAGCTCGAATATAGCTTTTGTTTCAGAAACCCAATAAAAAACAAAACTTAAAGAAGGGAAAAAAGAAATGTTGAAGAAATGAACTGAAATGAGTTTAACTCCTAAGAGCTCTGATTCTGAAATACCTCTAAATGCAACCCTAAATAATTAGGAGCCTCAGATCTTAGAAGAAGAAAGCGGATACTTCTGTGTTATTGGGCACTTGCAATGAAAGTTTGAAGAAGGTGGCTCTTTATTTATATATGGGCAAAGGACAGTTGTCGCAGCACCCGTGTTTTCGCTTTTCTTTTTTAATTGTTTGTACTGCTAAACATCTTTCTCGTTGACATGTAATATCAAAATACAGAAAAACTTAAAAGATTTAAAATGTCCGATTTACATACAACCGCGTAATTCTTCTTATGGATTGACATATCAATATTCTAAAATTTGATATGTATTTAAATAATAATTCAGTGTGACGGTTAAATTAAAAAAATATGTATAAAAGTATATATTTTATTTTAAAAAAAATATTATTTATTTATTTAAAGTTTTGATGTGATGTTTAATATTTGAGCGGTTTATATTTAAATACCAAAGTTTGGAAGTTGGATTTGCATTAACGTAACAATTATGTGATATGTATGTAAACCCCAGATTTGAAATTGGATTTAAGTTTGTTAGTGCACGCCTAACCCCTCCCCATAAGGGTTGAGGAGGTTGGCTTTGACATGGCCACCTCTGTAGGTGGCGTGACCATGCTGCAAGACAGAGCCCGCAACGTAATTACGCTATGGGACGGCGTGATCACGCCACACGAAAATCTATGACATATTGACATCGTGGGACGGCGTGACCACACCGACCTCCATGGGCAGGGCGGCGCATGATTTCAAAATTTGGCCTGGCAGCTCTATGGAAGCATGCCTTCTAGAAGCTGAATTTGCAGGCTTTTCGTGGACTTGAGGTGATCTCCTTTGGCTTGTAAAAAAACTTGGGGATTAACCACTTTTTTGGCATGTTCTAAATGCCATCCATTATCCAATTTTTGGCCTAATTCAGAGGCACTTTTGGGATTTTCAAGGGAAGGCTAGTTTAACCTTGCCTCTCTACCTCATTCTCATCTATCAAAACTCGTTCCATCTCATTTCAATTTTGGAGCTGGTTAGAAGAGCTTGGGAGAGCATAAGAGAGAGCTTCATCTTCCCCTTGGAGATCTTGGAGGTGCCATGGAGTGTCTTCTTACATATGGAGACTTTAGAGCTTGAAGCAAGAGAGGAAGGCTCTTCATCTTCCCCAAAAGGAGAGCTAAGGAGTTGATCACCTTCTTCTCCTTCTTCATCTTCAACCTTCTTCTTCTTCTTCTTCATCACCAACTTTCTCCACCAATTGCTTTGAGTGTATGAGGAGTTTCTTAGAAGAGGAAGAGCTTATCTAGCGGAGGAGATCTTCTTCGAAGATCACCGAAAATCTCACTGGAGTTCCGAAATTTGGTGTAACCTCACCGTAACCACTTTCTAGTCTTCTTCATCCCATGAAGGTTGTGAAGGAGAGAAGCTCGAGACCTTGCCAGAGCATCACTGGAGCAAACTCGGAGCAAGGAAAAGCAAAGAGAACAGATCATCAACCTTTGTGGCGGTGAGATTTTCTGAAAACCCTCATGCTTTCTTTCTTAGCCAAACCTAGGAGTAGTTTTACTAGGTGTTGTGGGCCTTTTTGGCCTCCCACATGAGTAGATAAAATAAGAGGTAGAAGGAAGTTTTGCTTAAGCGGCTCTTTTATCTACTGCTTATTTCACATCTATATAGCCTATACAATTCTATTTGTACTGCTCCACATCTGAAGTGAAATCATAACAAATTAGGAGAAAATAACTTAATGAGTCATCTAACAGATGGGGAGGCATGAAAGTATTTTGATTGCTCATATCCTGAGTTTGCTATGGAGGCACGTAACATTCGCCTCAGCTTATACTCTAATGGCTTCACACCCTACAATCAGATAACATCACCATACAATATGCTATCTGAGATGTGTACGACAATTCTTTTCTTCTTTCTGACACTTGATTATATTTGTTCCCAGTAGCTCTAAAGGAGGATTGATGTATATCGGCAGTTGTTGATAGATAACGTACATTTTTTTTGGAAAAGAGGTGTCATGAAGTACGAGGTATTTGTGAAACACACTTTTCTGATGAGAGCAGCATTAATGTGGTTAATAAGTGATTTTCCTGCACATGGAATGTTGCCTGAGTGGAGCACTGCGGAAAAGTTAGCATGTTCATTTTGCATGAATTCATCCAAGACATTTATGCTTTAGCATAGCAGGAAGAATTCATTGTTTGATTGTCACCGTGTGTTTCTAGATTTCGAACAACACTTCACGAGGAAAATGAATGCATTCAAAAGGAACAAAATTGAGAAATTATCGACACCTCCAAGAATATTTGAGGAAGATATAATGCAAATTATTAATGACATCCCAAAGATTAATATATGTTCTGACCTTTCTTCACATCATTCACCCATATTTGGCGTCACTCATAATTGGACAAATAAATGAATTTTTTGAGATCTGTCATACTAAAAGGATAACATGATAAGACTTAAATTGGAAGTCATGCACAAAGAAAAAAAAATTATTTTCATAACAACATCAACATTGTGATGGATGTTAACAAAAACTAGCAATAACATGAATGTCAAACTTAATTTGAAGGAGATATGCAAAAGGTGGGAGATGGAGATCCAAGAAACAACTGTCGGCAAGATCATCAAGCCCAAATCGAAATATTCCCTTACTTTGTCTCAACGAAGAACAATTTGTGAGTGACTCCAATCACTAAAAGTTTTGAGTGGATATGCTTCTAATTTGAGCAGTTGTGTTAATGTATGTAGAAAAAATTATTTGGAGTAAAAAATCATGACTATCATAATTTTCTACAAAATTTGATATCAACTGCAATTAGTTGTTTACCAAGTGAAGTCCTTAATCCTTTGATTGAAATTAGTTTGTTCTTGCAGGATCTAGCATAATCAGTGTAATTTTATAGAAATAATTCTCCTAGTGCACCGAGTATGAAGCACACATCTGGCACAACTTCGAGCGCAAGGACGACGATCGGCTACGAGACATGTTCAATGATATAAAAAATTGAGGCAGATTCCTTTGTGGCTTGGGGAGAATGATTTTGCCAAGCTGCTCAAGGGCTGGGATTCTCCAGAGTAGCAGAAGAAGAGAGAGCAGGCAAAGTAAAATAGGCAGTTGGACTGTGGAAGCATAAGACCTTTCAAGCATACTGGTGGGGCGCTCTCACAAATATAACACAAACAGAGGCTGATAAGATTTTATTCCTGCTTTAAATTTTTCTATATATCAAATATATATTCTAACTATTTCGTTATATGGATAAACTGTGATAATGGGATTAGAGCCCTTGCTTGCCGATGTATATAAGCACACTCATAAAAGGCAGTTTGATTAGTCTTGGATCGACGACATATCCCAAGCGACCCAGATAACTCACGAGCTGAAGTAGTTTGATGTTAATGCATGGAACAGTTTATATTTTTTTTTTTCAGGAGAGATTCCAACAGTTGAAAGATAACTGATCTCATGCGCAGGGAAGGAAAATTGATCCCATGCGCAGGGAAGTATAACTATCTGAGATCATGATCCTTCCGAGTACGGCCTATGGAGGGAGGCTGCTGGAGGGAAGAAGAAGGGTCGAGTCTACGGGCTCGGGTCACATGCGTTTGCCTATGATGCTCACCCCTCCCCCGGTGCATCTGCAACCTCTATCTCGACAACACAGAAGAAGGAAGTCTCGAGGTGTGTTGCTGCATTTGCTACTGATAGGAGGTCTGTTTCACTCATATGAGGTCGAAGTAGGAGGAAATATGGAAGTCAAGCTGAAGGCTGAGTTATTTCAACAATAGATGAGACAACATGGCAAGCTAGCATTGGAAGAGGACAAAAGAGGTAGAGGACGAGGATGAGGAGATAGAAGTGGAGGATTAGCAGGGATATTTTTTTTAATGATTATATTGTACATTTGAATATATATTTTTCTGTGAACAATGTTGTATTTATGTTAGACTAAATGCATTTTGTTTATTTGGTTATTTTATTGGATAATTTGATGTTGGAATGCTATTTTAATTCATTAAATTCTTGAGAAGATAAATTAAATGTTGTGATTGCAGGTGTGTTAATGTAAATACGAAAGTAGTAATTTTTTTTGCTGATGATACAAGTTTCTGAGAGCTTACCGGCGGTTTGAATACTACTCTTTGCATATTAGTAACCATAATCGACGGTTAGACGATGAACTTATTTACTGATGCATCATTGACACCAAACCGAGTCGGCTTGCCTACGTCAGTCGGCTTGCCTACTAAGAAAACGACGGTCGCGACACTTTTTAGACTGCTCTTTTGTCTGTTATCAAAATCAACTCATCATCGACACCAAACCGATGATGAGCCTCCGTAAAAAAAAGTGACGGTCGCAACACTTTTTTGATGCAAAGGCTGTCAGTTTTTTATGAAGAAACATTCATCGATTATATGGACTGATGAAAACTGACGCTTTCGAATTACTCAAAAAAGTGCTGATAAAATTTAGTCGGTTATGCATCAGTAATTTTATGCAGTCCGAATATTAGTCGGTTTGAAAATTATCAATAAGCATTTAGCTGAGACCTTAAAATAGTCGATGAGCTGCCGAAATTATTAAAAGCAATTGTATTTCTCTAAATAACCAATGAAATGTAGCCGTCAAAAAAGAGCATTATTCCTGTAATGATTTCTGACCCGAGATAAAATAAACATGTCCCATTTTCTTAGGGTAGTAGAAAATTTTCTTGGTAACGTTGATCCCCAGATTAGTGCAAGTATCGTTTCATAATTGGATACATTTCGAGGTGATTGATATTCTTGATGTTGTGTTCCATCACAAATGAAAATTTTCCAAACTCAATGTGTGGTCCGCACTTTTTATCTCCCCTATAAAACATATAGCCTTTGATAAAGACATATTAAGTATACTTATCTTCTATATTACATGTTAATATCTTCTGACTTGGTTTGACGTGCTAATGACTCGAGTCAGCATGTTATTTTGTACAATATTCAGTGGAGGATAAACTTTAAGTGATGGGACCAATCAAGAGCACTTCATCAAGACTTCTTTAGAATTCTCTTTCTACATA